GTTCCATCAAATTTTAATAGGTTAAAGACAATCATTGTAGCCGTATTTCCTCCAAAATCACACCAAATACATTTAGTAACTAAAGAATACTGTGTGTGAACCATGACAGAAAGGCATCAAAAATATAGAAAAATCCAAAACACTGTTTCATAAGATAAATCAAACAATATTCAGTATAATTATCTATAAAAGAAACATAATACTGAGATCCCCCTTTAATGGCAATGGGAGAAGAATCCCACATATCAGAGACATGAGATCAAAAGAGCTAAAGAAAAAGTGGAACTGTTCTTAGAAGGTAAGGTAGTGAATTAGGAAAGTTTGCAGCCACTACAATCAGAAATATATGACTACTAAAATTTCTTAAAGCACAAGTAGAAATCAAAAACTTCAAACAAGAGCCAAAAATGTGTTCAAGACGAAAATGCCATAAATAAAACCTATAAGATTTAGGGTTTACACAAAAGGAAGGCATATCAACAGAAGAAATTGCCACAGCTAGAACATGCAATTTTCCCAAAACATAAATCCTTTAATTCTACGGCGAGTCCCAATCAATTTCTTGGAATAGAACCCTACACAATTTAACTGGTAGACAAGAATTGAACAACATAACCATGATCACAAAGTTGACTGATAGAATTAAATTCAAAAATAGTTAAAGGATACAATAGACATCAGAAAGCCAAAGAAATGAAGTTTTATAATAGATCCAACTTTTGCCAATGACATAGAAGTCTCATTGGCAACTAAAAGTGCAATAGAGAGAGAGGGGAATTAAGGTAAAGAGAAACAAAGGTAGATCATTAGTCATATGATATGTGACATCTAAAATAAAAACCCAATTGGAGCAAGATGCACCTAAAAGGCTTCATGAAGGCAAACCTCTAAGGGAAGAAATAGATAAAAATTTAGGTTGATGTGCAAAAAGAAGTTTTTGCTGCAAGACAATGAAAGCCATAGAAGGGTGGTATTGGTCATCCACCAACTATGCAAACAGTTGAATTTTCACTTGCCTTAAATTCCAAAATATTAGGTTGTCCTGGAATTTTCAAAAAATTCTGGAGCTTCATTAAATTTTTTTAAAAATCTTGGGTTCTTCGATACTTTTTAAAAAATTCTAGAGTTGTTATGGAATATCCAAAAATATGGGGTAGTTTTGTAATTTGTCAAAATTTTGGGGGTTTTCTATAATTACTAAAACCTTTGGGGCTATTCCATAATTGTGGAAAAATCTGGGGTTACTCTACAGTTCCTTGAAACTTTGGGACTATTTTGTAAATTTGGAAAGGTCCAAGGCCATTGTACGTGAACACCTCTTCCATAGTAACCCTAAACCAACTTCATCTACATCTCTTTCAATTGACCGTAACCCTCGAAACATAGCCACAGATTCAAGCAACATCTTGAGTAATTCTAGTCAGTCGGCAAAAACCTCAACTCCGACAACAATTGCAGCCCCAAATTGTTTTCGACAGCGACAAATCAAGCACAATAGCAACAAACAGTAGAGGCGAACAAACAAACACATGGCAACAAAATAGAAAATCACACAACTAGAAAACAACAGACACTTTTTTCAACAACAACAAAGAGAAGCATCAACAACCCATCTGTTCAAAGAATAGCAACAACGACAAACAACAGCGTCGAAGAATCTATTCAAACAATTCAAATCCTAAAGTTTCACCAAGCCAACAACTGACATTGTTGCAAGCCCTCGAATTCAAGGTATACTTCTACAATAGACAAAGCTTGCTCTGATACCATGAAAACTTAGATCAAACCATACAAAGAAAAGGTACAAGCAGGGAGAGAAGAAAACCATACGCATCTGTCACAAATCCCATATATGGTACTAAAGTTTAAGTATAATGGGAAATATAAAAACCCAAACCAAGAAAAGGACTAAACTACCCCTAATTAATAGACATTACTCTTAAAAATAATAAATCGTAGGAGATTTCGATCTCAGTGTCCTATTTTTGTTAGACTCTTGAGGATACATGTTTTTTTTGTTAATTAATTAGATTGCAATTTTTTATTTTCCGCAATTTCATTGAATTAGTGATATACATCCATTTTGGAAACATTTAGAATTAGGTGACTCCTATTATATTCTCCTTATGTAGTAGGATTCTTCATTGCAGAATACAACTTTTCAAAGTTTTTGCTTCCTTTCTCTATAGATTCAAAGTGTGGTTGTGTTCGATACATAAAGAAATGGTGATTTCTTTGTGTTCCCTATTTACCATTAAGTCAATTGTGAAACTCACGTACTCTAAGTTCTTAGAATACTAATTAAGAAGCATCAATTGTAATAACCATCTTGACTGTGTTCATGCTTTGGGGCTCCATTCAACCTATCCCACACTTTGAACCCACAACACCTCATCACTATTCTTCCATCAACCCTACTATGGCACATGATAACTAGCAAAAACAACACAACCAGCGCTACCGCCTAACCATCAGTGTCTCTACAGCTAGCTCTACCATCACCACCCCTTCTCCATTGCATTAACGCTTCATTATTGCCATGTTTGTCCTTGCAAAATAATAACAACCACCCGAACCTCATTCTTGCACCATCACTACCTCAACTACACTTATAATCACAACAATCACCCATATCTGCAACCGTTGTTGGCATTAGTAAACTTTCATTACCACCTCTTCCTCAACAACAATACCTTTGTTATGTATTTCTTTCAATAGCATCACACCGACGTCACCTAAAATGCTCAAGAGCTACTCGCACAAGACACCAAACCAAGCCTTAGAACAATAATAAAATCAAACTCCTTATGCAACACAATCTACTCAATTACATTTTAAGATCTTCCAGTAATTGAGTGGTTGGTATTTCCCCTATCTCAAAGGGAAAGGTTCAAGGTTCAAATCTCCAAGAGATTAGACTGGTGGTTTATATATTTGAAGGGCTAATCCAACCACTACCAATTGATTTTGGATTGGATGCTCTAACATAGTACAAGAGTTGGACCTTGGGTGCTTGGTGGGCTCTGTCTCTCACTCAGTTCAATTCCTCAGTCCATTTATTTGCTAGTTTGTGTGTTAGCTTCAGTTTGGTTTGTTAGTCCAACTGCAAGTCCGAGGGAGGGTGTGAAAAGAGCTACCCCACATCAGAAAATAAAGTGGACTCCAAGTTGGTTTATACACCTGAAGGGCTAATCCACTCATCAACAATTGGTTTTGGATCAGATGCTCTAACACTCTGCACTGTTAAAGGTGGCATATGAGAAGGAATCTAAGAACTTTCAACTTTTAAGTCCTCATCGTTAAACCACCACATTAAGCATTTATATGTGTATTTATGTATGTCAGCTACTAAGGCTGATAATTGAATCAAACTACTCGGATTTGACTCAATCTCGACTCGAATAGAACTTGACTCGAGCTCAGCTCATGTACTAAACGAGCCAAGCTTAACCAATTTTTTAGCTCGTTTTCTTGACTAATATTTTAGATTTGTTTTCTTGACCAATTTTTCAGGCTCGTTTAGAAAACGAGTCTAAAAGGCTCGACTCGTTTATATGTAAAATAGTTGAACTACTTGGGCTCGACTCATTTTGGGTTCGACTCAGACTCAGCTCATTTTCTAAACAAAACAAACTTGAACAATTTATTAAGCTTGTTTGAAAAAACGAACTCAACAGACTCGACTTGATTCAGCCCTATCAGCTACCCAGCATATTTCAGGAAAAATTGAAAGTGTTCTACAAACTTATAAGAAAGGAGTTTTTACATGCCAATGTTGCTTCTTTTCGCTTTGACATATTAACAATACAGTAATTGTTGGATTATTAATTTCAAAAGCAACCCAAGCGAATAAGATTGTAAGGCTATAGCCAAAAACTCACCAGCAGGCCCAATATAATTATGGGAATATCAGAAAACAAAAAGATGCATGTATCTGCCTGTACGATTAGCAGGTAGAACTCATCTTGCTAAGCCAAGCATAATGACATGATAACTAAAAAATGAAAAGATAAAATGTAAGAGATGCATGCACGAGTAAATATAATTTCATCGGCAACATATTGAATTCATTAAAGCCATTGAATTCCCTTGTATCAGTATGTAAAACAAGAGTATGTATAATATACTAGCATGTGAAATGAATCTGCCACTGCTGTGTTTCAAAGTTCCACAAAATGAACTTTCAAGATGAACTTTTTTACTAGAAAATCATTCTCTACTATCCTTGTACTAAAAGGTAAGGCTAAGATGATTCATAAAGCATAGAAATTGTTGCATGATTCCTCACGGACCTTAGGTAGCCCATTTAATCATCATCCAATCAAGAGAGAACTAGCTAGCAGATAAACTTGGAGATGCATTAAATGAGACATCAAACCTATTTTTGATGAATGTATGACATCAAAGATAAAGAGTATATTAGTCAGTAGGCATCTCATGAGTGCTTCTCAGTACATATGCATAAAATATCATGAATGAATTTACCCAGACGGCATAAACACCCAGACAGCCTATAGCAGTGGTTCAACTTCGCTGTTTCTGGCTTGATGAACTACACAAGGAGTATAGGATCTTCAGTACTGCGTATCTGTTAACAGAGCCTATCATGGGAGTGTCAACTGGTAACGTATTATGAAGCAAAGGCTATAAATCAGCAGGGTTTAAGGACCAATTTTCAAGTCTTGATAGCTGATGCATACACTCCAAAAAGGAAAGCAAGAAGGGAAAAGTATCATTCCCAGGAATAGTCACTAATTAACAATAAGTTAATACTAAACCACACCAAAAAATGACATCAGATGAGTCAGTTAGGAAGGCAACATTCTAGAGATCCATCTTTAAAAGTGAACAGCTATGAGACATTGCGTACTGATGCATATAATACATTAGCAATAAAGTTCAGAAGCACTTCAGAACATTCCAATAAAATGAGGTTATTATGATGCTTTGCATCAAAATGAAAAACAAGGCACAGTCAATTGTGAAAGTAAGAGTACATATCAATACCCTTGAGCATCAAAGTCATTTGACAAGCTGGGAGATGGAGGGTGTCTCCCTGGTAGAGGTATGTGAAGCACCGTCAAAGCAAACATTTGGAGATCTGTAACCAGACCGTTTATCCTCTTAATGTCAGCCACCTAACATATCATACAACATTACATGTGATGGATTATAGTCAACCATCTTATTATCTTACTTTATGGAGAAAGTCAAAGAAGGGGAGCGGAAGAGAAGGAAACATAAATGCAGTGTAATTCTTATACATAAGCACCCAGAAAAACAAAATGACTTCCACTGATGGAAAAACAACATTAAAGACTGAAAGGGAAAGTGTAAAATTTATTTTACTTATCAATAAAATTTGTTTCTTATCCAAAAAAAATAGACTGAAAGGGAAAGTTAAAGCCACAGTTAAACAAATATAACAAAGTGTATGCATGGCAGCAACTACAACGCTTTCAGTGAAATTGATGCAGCTAAAGTCCATGACCAAACCCATAGATGTCCTTTTGTATTCACATAAAACAAAGTCTTAGCCTGCCTTTTCAAAAATTTGCCACCATATCAATATGCTTTACCTGATGAAGTCTAATTTCGAAGAAATCTTAAAAATTTGAGTAGGTATCCAACTGCAGCTATTAATTATATGCTTCTCTGCTTCTACAAGATGTTTCCATGACCACAGTTGGTTCCCAAAAACTGGCCCCTCCAATCAACAAAGTCTAGCCTCAATTTTCATTCTATAAAAAGGCAGTCCATTGCACAGGGCTCCCGACCACTACGGGGTCTGAGGAGGGTCAATTGGAATTCTCTATAGTCCATAATAATCTAGGAAACACAAACACGGATACAGGTATGATATGATACTGATACTGCGGTACGGCAAAATCTCAAAAAATAGTTTATGGGTATGGCCGACATACGTGTATAAAAACATATATCTTGTATTTGTACTATTATGTAATGACTAGATAGCTATAATCTTTAATAATTCTTTAACAACAATAAATAACATTAACAATTTTTTATTTTCAAAAAACCACTTATTGCCTCAATACAATACATCTACAAATTGAACGTGATTAATTAAAAGAATAAGAACCAAAATTTAACTAGATTGTTTGTTGATAAGTGTTTGTTGTTAAAATTATACAGTAATCAACTCATTTATACTCTTTGGACATGTGATAATGATTAATACTTGAAAAATATCCATGTGTCTTCAAAGTCGTATAGAGTGTTGTTGATGTATTGCATTGTATAGGAAATTAAAAGGAATTGGTAAAGATTAAAACTAAAAATTACAACTATTTCTATGCATAGAAAAGTATCTTGAAGTTTTTACATATTTTATTTATTTTTAGATATGTTTGGTGTGTATCCGATACGTATCCATGAGTATCCGACGAATATCGTATCCAATACGGATACGTCGACATCAACATTAACAAAATATTGGGACTTTATAAATAATAATGAATTTCGTCAGGTGTTAAACTTTTTATTTCAACTTCTTGTAGGGAGGGGAGGAACAATATAAACTTAATTGTGTAAATAAATAGTAACTTTGACTTACACAACTTAATAATTCTGACCATAGTTGTCAAATCGCATATCGGAAGGTGTATCGTTTTTTAAAAATAGTGTACCGTATCGTATCGTATATCGTAAAATACGGTGTAATTTTAAATAATAAATAATAAAATATATATTTACAAACTTTAGGGTGTCTAGATGTAATTTATTAACAGATATATTCACAGCAGCGGTCTAAATGTTACGTGTATATAAATTTTAGAGGGTCTGTGAATAATATTTCAAATATTAGAGGTCTAAAGATTAAGTAATAAACCTCAAGGGGTCTAAGTATAATTTTTCCTATTTTAAAGTATAGCAGAGACTGTCTAATCAAAAAAAAAAAAGAACGAGAGAGAGATCGAGAGGCAAAGAGAGAAAAATAGTGATCGAGAGGCAGCGATCGATTCACAAGAACAAATTGATCGATTCACAAGCACGAGGCAGCGATCAACATCGCTATCCAAGAGGCAGCGATCGAGAGGCATCATTCTCCAAGAGACATCGATCTCCAACAGGTTTCTTCTTTTTTTTTTTTCTTTTTATCGATGAGGGTAGTGGTGGGCTTTGATTTTGAAGGAATTTCGGTCGTTCCATTGGAGTGATTGCGACTGATTTACCCAAAAAAAAAAACAGAGACTTCGCGTATCGTTCGTATCAGTCGATACATATCGTATCGTAAAAACGTATCGTGTATCGGACGATACTATGTAAAAACGATACAAAACTCCGATTCGTATCGGTTTACCTCTGTATCGTGACGTATCGTACAATACGTATCGCGTATTTTACGATACTAACAACTATGATTCTGACATCAAGTTTTTTTGCTACAATTTCTCCATAACCATACAGAACTACTAGAGGATGAAAATCAATAATCAATAAATTAAAATCAGTACTTGTTTGGTGCTTGTGAACAGCCATTAAATTGAAATACTTCCAAGAAAAATTACAAACAGTCACTGTTCCCTTTCAAAAACCATTAAATCCAATCAAAATTATTTTTCTCTTGAAATAAGTTTTTCCAAATCAGTTCGAGATTTCAACAATAGATAAAATTATTCCAAATCTGTCCTTTATCCCTGGAATACCAACTACACTCTCGCAAATCATAACTTTAGATCAATTTCAATATATTGTAAAACCACAGCAGCAGGTAGGATGTCTGCCAATAAATGTGTTTTGTAATATATGTGGAATCCCATCATATAAGCAGAAGATTACCATAAAACTTGGCATAGTAGAACTTTTTACAAAAATCAGCTTTTATAACATGCAATATAATGATAAAATCCTGTCCATGCATAGTTTGATTCTGTTTAATACAAACCATTTGGTCAACTTTCTAATGAATTTTTTGAGACATCAAATCATAGTATTGCCTTACATGCCAAGTCAAACTTTTTTAGATTATTCACAAGAAACTAAAGTAAACCATACTAATAGCACTTTCGTGAGTAAAATGTGAGGAAAGCAGAGAATGTTTAAAATTTCAAAAGCAAGTATATAGTTTAAATACAAAATTTAATAGAACGTTATAGGGGATGAATAAGGCTTATCGATAATGTCGTCATACTTCTATCATTCAAATTGGAATACAAAATTAACCACACGAATTTGAAGGGAAAATTGCATGAATTTTTCGAAATTGCATAACTATACCTCCACGCCGTATTTGATGGCAACACCGGCTAGAGTATCCAATTTGGAGACGGGGTGTTCAATGTAACTGACCCCCCCAGCACCGACAGTCCCACCTCCACCAGCACCACCACCATTAGGCAATAGAGTCGGCGAAGAAGAAGATATCGGAAACAGCTTCGATGACGATGATGTTACTGAATCCATCCCCGGATCCAATACAATAGGGTTTCCCCAAAGACCTTAAAGCAATCACACCAGAATATCTCTGTATCTACACATTGTTTTGCTCGATCTGGGGTAAGTTTTAGAGAAAACGACCAAATATTAGTGGGTCAAATATATATGCAGTATACTAACAGAACCAGATAGATCGAGTGGAGAAGACGTTCATCTCGTGCACTCTTTTCCCGGGAGAGAGGAGGGGTTTTCGTTTTTTCCCCCCAATATGAATGAATAAATGGAGGTTGACGCTGACATCGTGTTCTAAACAAAAAATGGCCCTTCTATTAAGGAAATTAAATCATAATTACGAGGGTTAATTGTAAATTACATCCTGAAAAATTATTTGAATCTTAATTTGCACTCTTAAAAATCAAAAAACTCAATTTTTACCTTTAAAAATAAAAATTTGTATCAATATATACCTAAAATTAACCACCATCGATTTACTATCTAAAACTAAATTGATAAATTATACCTAAATCCCCTCATGTTGTCACTTAATCATTTGAACACCTTCACATTTAAAATATTACTTCTACATCTCATGACGTTTGTGCACATGTAATACGTAACCCCTTTTCGTTGATATTTGTTAATATAACAGGTAAAAAATACTCCCTCCGTTCTTAAATATCTGTCATTTTACATAATTTTTTTTATTCTATAATATCTATCGTTTAATGAAACCAAAACATAATTAATATTTTTTCTTCCAAATTTATCCTTAACTTTTCAATGTATTAGATTAGATGGAGGCTAAGTATCTTTCATATTCTTTTTCTTTCCAATACGTATTAAATAAATGTATTTTAGTCTTGTATAATTATTTTTTACTCATATTACAGCTATTTAATAGTCTCATTAATCCATGTGCAAAAACCTTAAACGACAGATATTTAGGATCGAAGGGAGTATGATTTTATTCTAATAAATGGATAAATTACACCTAAACTCCTTCATGTTTGTCACTTAATTACCCACATCTCTCATATTTGAAATATTACACCTACATCTATTAAGAATCCAAATATGACTAAAAACGTCCCCCCAATTGGGCATTCAAATAATTCTATTTATATAATATAAAAAATATTATATAAATACCTACATTTTATTGGACATTCAAATGGTAAATTTAATTTTAAACTTTAGAGTATATCGGACCCACAAAATAAAAGATAATATAAAATTATAATTTTTTATTAAGATAAAATCATAATTTTTTATTAGGATAAAATTATATTTTTTAACGGTTATATTAACAGATATCAACGAAGAGGGGTTATATGTTACACGTGCACAAACGTCAAGAGATGTAAGAGTAATATTCTAAATGTGAAGGGGGTCAAATGATTAAGTAACAAACATGAAGAGATTTAGGTATAATTTATCAATTTAGTTTTAGGTAACAAACTGACAGCGGTTAGTTTTAGATATACATTGATACAAATTTCTATTTTTGAGGGTGCAAATTGAGATTTTTTATCTTTGAGGGTACAAATTAAGATTCGAACGATCTTTCGGAATACAATTTACAATTAACCTTAATTACAAATATTCGTCCCAAAAAAAACTATCGTACCTCTGTTACTTTTATGCAGTTTTTTTTTGCACCTTTATCTCTAATTTAGATTTAGATTTAATTTTTTTATTTTAATAAAATCGTTATTGTTGCTAATAAAAAAAAAAACACATCTCTTAAATGAATTTATAAAAAGAGAGTAAATTAAGGGGCTATTTGATAACACTACTCAAGATTTAAAAATGAATATTTTAAGTATTTAATAAATTAAACCTATTTGATAACTTAAAACTCATACTATTTAATATTTTAAGCACTTCTTAAAAATATGTTAAAATTTTAAGTAGCAAGTCAACTACTTATCACTTAATGCTGAAAATGTTAGTTAGTAAGGACTTTATCAATTTCTCATAATTGACAAATATACCCTCACTACCATTGTGTAATCGCCACCACCACCAACACTATCACCACCACCACCATTGTACCACCGCCACCACCATTATACCACCACCATCGTTGCCACCACTACTATCACTACCATTGTGCCACCATCATTACCACTATCGCCATCACCATTGTTGCTGCCACCACTACTATTGTACCACTATCATTACCACCACCATTGTCGTCACTAACATCACCACCACCACCACTACTATTATGTCATCGCCGCCACCACTATCACTGTCGTTGCTACCACCACCACCATTATACCATCGCCACCACCACCACCACTACCACTGACATTGCCATCACCATCATTATCGCCACCACTACCATTGTACTACAGTCACCACCACTACCACCATTATGTCACCACCATCACAACCACCATTGTATTACCGCCACTACCACCACCATTGTGATAGTGGTCATAAAAATAAGGCAATTGCGAAGAGATGGTTAAAAGAGAATGACAAAATTTGAATAATAATAATTTTCAAATTTCAGTTATTTATATTTGTCAAACAGTTTGATTAAATTCAATACTTAAATTTTAGTTGATACTAAACATTTTACGAATTAAAAAATTCATCATTCAACACTTAAAGTTCAATATTCAGTTTTTAGTGTTCAACTTTCAATTTTATCAAACACTACCTAAGTTTGTCACTTAATTACACCAATTCCTTCAAGTATGGCAAATAACACTATCACCCCTGTCAAGAACAGTTAACTAAGGGTGATAATGAAAAATATGAAATCACTCGTTTATTGTGTTATAAAATAAACTAAAACCAATCCAAGCCAAGCCAAAACCTTGAATTTGAACCCTAATCGAACTGGAACCTGACCCTCCTCCACAAAAATATCTCCACAGAAAGACACTTCTCCTCCTCACATGTCTAATACATTGATCATTCACTTCTACATTCATCCTCTCTATGCACATGCACAGACACATTGGCATACTCATCGCCCCAATGCCATCTGCACGCTTCAGTGCTACCACCATAAGCCTTTCTCCGCACAAACACAGACATGCCGTGACAAATGTGTAGTAGAAAGTGACACACCATGGCTTGTTTGGGACTACATTTTTTGTAGGTCGTGTTTGGATGGCAGAGTTAGTTTGAATTGGAGACCTTCAAAAATATCATTCTTTACTCAATTCAAACCCACCCATCTGCCAGTCCATTAAGATTTAAATGAATATATCCAGTTCTGTTCAATGTTTGGGTTGCACCTAGCACATCTATGAGTCCCATGGATAAAGGTGATGTAATATAATTTCATTGACTATTATGTTCCTATTTTATCCAATCTAGTAACATGTTTGGTTTATAAATTAGCCTATAATTTTTTATCCAAACAATTTTTTATTTTTTTTTATGTGTGGGTTGTCCATTGTGAAACAAAGAACAATGCTAGAACACCAATTCTTTTCTGGGTTTTCCAATTCACAAGAAATCCAAACAAAGCCTCAAAAAATTCCCTCAATATCTTCCTTCCTATCCTTGTTCACAGTTGTTCATTGCTTTCTGGGTTTTAAATTAGATGGGCACTATGAACTGTATCATTGAACAGTAAGAAATTTCTGAAAAATTTTCTTATAAAAACCATGAAATAGTATCCCTTTAAGAAAAATTATTTTTAAACCTGAAAGTTACAAGTGCAACAAAAAGAAAGATATCCCCAGACAGTTTTGAGAACATGGGAAAGTAATATAAATATAATTACCCAGCTATACATGGATAAAAAGAGACGTTGTTGGAGGGTAAAAGTAAGACCAATGGCTTACGGCTTTGGGCAAATATGTCATTTTTTTCACTTATCTGGTTGGTGTAAAAAATATCCTAGCCCCCCTTTGGGTTTCATTTAACCCACATAGGTAGGTTAAAGTTAATTTTTCAAATCGGGTTAGGATAAATATGAGTGGGATTTCCAGTGCACTTTTTTACTTACCAAACGTGGGATAAATAGGCCCCAAATATTTTTTTCTCCTATCCTACTGGTGTTATCCTCCTTTAACTTGCGATCCAAACACATCCGTAGTGCTTAGGTGTTTAGGAGTCAAAAAAATGGCGTTCGATAATGTGATTCCCAACAGCTTATGGGTTTTTTTGTACATGATTTTTAATTCCCAATAGTCTTTTAGACGCTAACATATTGTGTTTTGTGCTTTTATTTTGTGGGTGATTTTGAAGGTGGACAATAGGTAGCCTTTGCTAGAACTCCAAAGATACACCCAAGTATAGGTGATCAAGCTATAATAATAACTAAGTGAAGTTCAAGGTAATAACATTGGAATTTAGGAATAAAGGAAAAGAAAGAAAATGAAAAATTAGGAGAAAAGTTGAATTGATTCAGGAACAATCACAAGTAAATTTAAAAGTAAAAAACTATTGGAAAGTGACTCTTTAACATCGGGATCTGGATCTCCTCATGTTCATCAGACAATTATCTATGTAATTTAAAAGCAACTCAGTTCATTCCCAAAAGTGATTAGTATAGTCAATCATAAAATATTTTTTTAAACACAAAATTATTTTGATTGATCTTGAAAATTGGATTTGAATAACAAGATTATAAAACTTGCAGAAAATTATAAGTACTTGAATATGTTGTTCCGGGAAGGTGAACTTGATGTGGATCTTCCCTCACGATTATATAGGCATTTTACCTAGAGGGGGGTGAATAAGATTTTCAATTTTAAGCCCAATTGATTACCAATAAAAACCTAAACGGCCACAATTATTTCTTTCCGTAAAGATATAACAATAAATGTGAGAACCTTTTGGTCACCGTAACTCATTTTATACATGACGATTGATTTTAATGAATCTTCAATTAGTTTAGTCACAATCTATCTCACATCAATCTCAAACCCAAATTGCACAACTATGTATTGATAGATAGTCAAAAAATCATTCCAACAAACACATAGTGTGCATGTGTGCCAACAATCACATGATTTGTTGATGCGAAAAAAGGTCCTCGAAAAAAATCACCAGGA